GTAAATCGATAAATTAAGAGTGTATTAATTTGAGGAACCGTTTCCTACTTGCCACTTGCTTTGCTTTTGTGGCTGTTTGACGTTTCAGCCATGGCACGGTGTTATCAGTGCTAAGGGGCCAGGGGACAAGCATGGTGAGGGGCAGCAAGAGAGGGGACATGGGTTGTGTTTGCATAAAGTGACAGTGTGGGCCAAGGGCTTATCAAGGCCTTTGTAGATTATTGATTGGAGCAGATACGTGAGGTACACGGGCCTGTACGTACCAGAGTGTGTTGGAGGTTCGGAAAACTCTGGCTTGACTCAAAAAAGATGCAAAGATGTTCAACTGTGCTTCTTTTGTGAACTACTGAGTCTTCTTGCAACACAGCAACCGTGGACGCCATCATTCAAAAATGTTCCTGCCACACAGATCTAAACACAGGGTATGGAAAACATGGGAAGTGCTGGTATTCCCAGGCTTGGTTGGAGTTAGGAATTAACCTGGCTGTAGCATGGGGCTTGTGTTGTGTCCCTGCATTTCATCCTTCAAGGCAACAGCTTGCTAGCAAACACACTCTCTTGTGCACGCACGCATACACACAGCCTTATCTTCCAGGGTCTTGTCTTGTTTGGCTAACACTGTGCAAATAGAAGGTGCAATACATCTCCTGACAGTTCCCAAAAGCAAAGGGGAGAAACACGCTGGTCAAACAAACAGCCAACCCTGAGTCACCCAGAGAGAAGAGATTTCTCAGGCTTTAACGAAACACAGATACACGCACACACATATATCTCTACACTTGGTGTGTAACAGTAGCCTGAATTTGAAGGCTTTGGGGCCTCTGGCTACCTTTTTAAACGTTTGTCTAAGCAGTCTTAAGACAGGAGCTGCTGCTCCTGGAGTGAATGGCTCCCAGCAAGCCATCCACAGGCTCCCTTTGTCCTCCGTCATATTTTATTATCTCATCAAAAAGCAGGAAATCCGATTCCCTCTCTCTGAAAAAGAGCTTATCCTTCTGTCTCAAAGCAACCTGTCACAAGAGGGAGAGATGGAGAGAATGGGGGAGAGTTGTTGGGCCGACGGGGAGACAGTGTAAAGGAGTGATTAACTGCCTCATTGCTATCAGACTCTCTTTTCTTTTTTCTGTCTTGCTTTGGTCTGTCCCTCTTGATTGGTATTTATCCAACACAGAGCACAATGTGAGGGGTTAGGAAGGCACAGATTTATCACCTTTGTGGATTCTTTCATCAGCCTTTCGTCCTTGTCTTCTTTTTTTTTTCATATAAAGTTACACAAGGTAATAGCTGCATAAATATCAGCTTTCAAGAGAGCTGTTTTTTTGAACATCCTGTCACTTGTGTCCTTTGTGTTTTTTACACTAAATATTGAGATTCATAGAGAATCTGGTCATTTCTATGTTATGGGCGTAATCTGGCTCCTTTCATATGAAAATCACTGCTTTTATTTTTATAAATGGGACAGAGGGACAGAAGTCCATATGATGGTTGTCCCAAACAATGGTGGTTCATTCCAATCCTTGAGGTCTGGTGTCCTGCAGGTTTCAGATGGATGCTATAGGTGTGTTTCAGTACAGCTAATTCACATACCTCAATTGACTGAACCAGAAGAAGATTTAAAACCAATCAATTTCAGCTAATTGCTACTAGTTGCTTGGAATCTTTCAAATATTTTTTTTGTGTTAGCTCTCACTGTCAAAAAAATATATGAATCTTGTAATTTCTCAAGCATTATATGGCAAGTTATTTTTTTTTATGTCTGTGTTTTTCATAACAAAAACAGAATACTATCAAGTTATCTTGAATATTATCCAAACTGGTCACATATCTACTTCATCAGACACTGAACACTTTAGAATAATATCTGAAAAAGAGAGTGTCTGATAATAGCTGTAGAGGGAATACTTGATCTTCAAGCAAAAATGCACGACAAGGCCAAACACTGCTCCAGATATTTCGGAAACTTTTTCTTAAAAAAAAAAAAGATATTTGCCTACAATTTTTTTTATTAAAATCAAAAGGGTTGTAAATATATATTTTTAAAAAAATGAACCAGTGCGTGGCAATTACATTGACAGTAGCAGTTCAAATCCAATAGCAGAATATCCCGAGCGTGGCTAACGCAATGCTGGGTTTGTTTTTTAATGATGCATATGTGGGGTTTCCTTACTGATAGTTTTACTTGAATTTTCTTCCATTTTTTATAGTGTTTCATTGGTCAATGCTTAATTAACTTGACTAATGATTTGAAAGCTTCTTCCAAAACAAAATGTAGCTTTTTTATTGTCTTGCCTGACATATTGTTTTTTGTTGTTGTTGTTGTTGTTGTTTAAGACACTTTTTAAGCTCACATTGGAAGCTTTATGAAAAGAAAGTTGTTGTGGTAGTTGGCCTTTATGCACATGCTTTAATAGCATCTGGGTGACCGGTCCACACTTCAGTAGATAGTTTTTTAATCCTCCTTCCTGTTTTTGAAAAAACTATGTTGTATTTACTCACTAGGGCCTTATCATCAAAAATGCTGCAAATGGCCACAGTTGGTATTTACACCGATGTTAACAGCTTTGAAAATAAAGCAGTGACACCTTTGTCTAATTTGACACAATTTACCCTTTATTTTCTCTAATATTATTTCCTGATTTGAAGCTTACTTCAAACAGTGTCAGCTCAGTATAAGAAAGTCATAGTATTTTTTTGTGTGTGTGTGCGTGTGTGTTTTTGGAGAATTTCGTCATCTAAGACTCAGTTTATATCCACATGTGAGGCTGTAAATGCACCAGAAAATTATTTTTTAAATTTTTTGTGTGTGTGTTAGAGGACTAGGCCTCAGTCACCTTGTTTGCCTTTTCCAAGTGCTTACTGCAAACCCCAAAAAAAAAAAAAAAAACTCTCCGTCCTTTATCGCCTCCCCTCCTCCTGCATCTGTGTTTTAATTTTGGGCTCTGCTGAGAAGTTGTTAAAAAGCCCTATGAAATATGTATGAAGGATTGTGAGCCACGCGATTGGCCCCATTTACCGGACAGCAGAGCAAATGAACAGCCACACTGGATAATCCCCCACAATGCCTGTGGAACAAAGGCCCAACAGCTGACCCTACAGAGAAGGATGGAGACAAGCGGAGAGTCGGGTAAAATGGTGGGGGGTGCAAACAGTTAGGGCTCACTGGTGGTCAGGGGGCAGTTCACTCGTATGCGCCTCACATGTAGTGGCAAAACAAAGGCTTGTGGGGCAGGAATAACTCCCTCTGTTCTGTTGTTCCACACTCTCTCCTTAGACTCTTCTCAGCCCCTCCTTCCCTCGCCATCGCTCCCTCACCCCCTCCCCCTCTCGCAGTCAAGAGGATCTGAAATACCAATACCCTTTTCTCCTTGACATTGCTTTCTCCTTGCAGTCAGCGTTTTGCTGTCCTTTTATAGTCAAAACGTCAGGAGAAATTCCATGAAGGAATATTCTTAGTAATGCAGCACTGCCTGCATCCAGCGGCCAGGGTGCTGCGCTCCTTTGGCCAGTCAGCGGAGTCTATGGGGAACAGCGTGCGCGGGCAATTGCACAAACTTGCCGTGGCACACGCATTACCTTGCCCTCGTGCCAGGGTTATTGTGCCAGTATTTCGGAAGCTACAAACAGTCCAAACAATGAATAATATCCTCTTCCACTCCTCTGGACAGGGGGATTCAATATTTGGGGAATTGGGTTATAGCATCCAAGCTCCTTATTCATGACTCACCTTTTCACTTCCACAGAATAACATACACACCACACGCCATTCATCACCCCTAGAGGGGGTGGGTGGGCTGTCCCATGTGTGTCTAAGAGTGTGAATAAAACCCTGCATGTGTGTGTTCATCGTGTGTGTCCACTAACCTTGCTGTGTCCTGACACTCCTGATGAGTATCTGCAGGACACTAGGAGTGGAGCGCGCACTGTCAGGCGTTTAGACTAGCTGCTGCTGTATCTATATGTGTGTGTGTGTGTGTGTGTATCAAGAGAAGCGGGCAGGGAGACAGTCAGCACTATCCAAGCAGGTGACCCCTGAAGGCTGCATCGCCCTTAGCTCTGAGTCGAGGAAAGAGCCAAATACACCAGGGTAGCTAAAGTGTGTGTGTCACCATACAGGATGTGTCATCTCCTTGGCACAAGAAGGTGTGTGCGCTGGTGTGTGTGCTCACGCCTACATAGGTGTGTGTGTGTGTGTGCGTGTGTGACAGAGTGTTGGCTTGGGGGAAGGTGTCACAGATCTTTGCCAGACTAATCATCTCCGCGGTGTCGGTGAGCGCTGCTGTCAGGGACACTAAAGAGGCGGCGTGTCTCCCCGTTCCCAGAGCATTTAGTACTTCCTCTTTCGCCAGCACCTCTCTGTCGCTCTTCAAGTCGACTCCGCTCTCTCAGTTGGTCACAGATTCGCAGCGAGAGCCATAAACATGTCACATGTGCCATGTTGCTACAGAGGGGGCGGGGAGTGAGAAGCGTGATGAACCTGAGTATACACAAGAAGTTACTTTTTTTCTCAGGCTGCCACCTCAATCGCGTTTTAAGGAAGTACACAGAGGAGATTTATGGTTTTACATCCACAGTGAAGATATCAAGATACACTGCCCTCGAAGATATTCAATTCACAGTGGCATGCAAAAAATATTTATAACTCTTTAATGCTTTCACATTTTGCTGTGTTACAACCAGAAACATCAGTTGGCCTGAATGGAGAAGTGTGTTTTCCAATCCCATTTAAAACTTTCCTCAACGCATGTAAACTTTCTAAAGAAGGCGCTCTAGTCAGATTAGACTAACACTGAACTCTTTGTCCTAACTGGTGGTGGCAGCATGTTACCATGAGAATGCTGTTCGTTGACAAAGATAAAAATGTCGGTTGAAGTTCATGGAAAGATGGATCAAGCTAAGTGCTGGGCAAGACGGTAGAAAACCTGATAGATGCTGCAGGCAACTTGAGAAAATCACCCCAAAAACTAAATGCAAATGTTCCCTTCTTCTCTTTGCCCACTAAGGTCCCCGATCGCTTCCTGGAGGTGGCTGAGATTACATTGCGGGAGTTCTTTAATGCCATCGTGGCCGGCAAAGATGTGGACCCATCCTGGAAGAAGGCCATCTACAAGGTCATCTGCAAACTGGACAGCGAGGTCCCTGAGATCTTCAAGTCCCCAAATTGCCTTCAGGAGCTTCTACATGAGTAAAATTCCTCCTACACCTCCATCTCTGCTCATCTCTTTGCGCTTATTTTGTTTGTCGTTTCTGATTTAATTGAATTTTTCAAAAAATTCCCCCTTTTTTTTTTTTTTTATTATTATTATTATTATTTCTAACTAAACGTTTGATTTTTTTTTTCTTTTATTATTATTTTTGAATGTATAAAAGTTATGGAGTAGCATTCCCAAACTAAAGCCTCTGTGGCATTTCCTAAATGATCTAGCTATTGTGTTGTTGTTCATATATTATTATGGTTATTATATGTTTTGTTTTTCTAACATTCTGAAGTGAAGAGACTTTTATTACTGGGTGTTTTTGGACCGTGTGAGCCCTCACCTGAATGGCCTGTTTTATGAACAATACTACCTGAGTGTGCGGAGGGACTTTGCATTTACATCACTACAAACACAGGCAGGGTTTACTAAGAAACTGTATCCCTCCAGTTGTAGGGGCATCCTGACAAACCGTTTCCTGCTTGGCTGCCCAATAGACTCTGCTTTATGAGATGTCACTAAGAAGACACACATGCACACAAAATCGAGGCCTACTGTGGTTATTGACTGGACTAAAACTGGACTCGTGTTACTGGTCAGCACTGGTCTGCAGAACTTGGACTGGTTTTAAGAGGCTACTGAAGTCGACCACCTTTTGAAGTGTATTCTCCCCTAAAAGCAGGGCATTGTGTTTATTGGGTGTACATTATTTTGATTAATATTCTTATTGTTGTTTATGATTATTTGTCTTTTTTTTTTTGCTTGCTGAAGATTGGCACTTCAAGACTTGTTTGTCCCTTGATGCCGTTGCAGAAGAAAAATAAATTATTATTAATATTACTCCAAGCGCATTTAGATTCCTAAATACTTTCTCCACCGTATTTCCCTCCATCCTTTTCTTTGCTCGAATTTCTTCATGAAAGCAATCATGTCAGGTTTTCTGTTTGACTGGAGTAAAAAGATGTCCCTAATTAGTAACACTGTGAAACAGGGTCTAAAGAAGGTTTCAGTAACACTTCACACAAAAGAGTACAGAAATACAAAGCAAACACATTATACTTGTGTTGTTTTTCTTCATACTCATCTTTAAATCAGCAATGTTTCTGAAGGTGCTCCACCTGAAAGTGTACAACTGCTCATCTGTATCTGTATACTGTCGATATCCAGCTCTTATAAGATTAAGGCAGCCTGATTACTATTTAGGCTTCTGTTCTAATAATCCTATGCGAAGTGAAAATGAAGTGCTAAAGTTGCTTTATTTGCAGATGATACTTGAATATTTCAGGATATTGTAGAGAAACTTAGGTTGAAGCAACACACACACACACACACAGGTGTGCACACACAAGTCAACCATAACAATTTGACCAACTGTTTAGTGGTGTATGCAGTCAAAACTATCCATATACCTGGTTTTAAATAATCTTTTACCAACATGTTTCTTATGACTGGAAGTGATGCCAACCAATTAGATTTAGGCAAAACTTGAATTTCATTGAGAACCTGTGAAGAAATCTAAAATTTAGGGTGGTAACTAAAAGGCCTTCCTCTCATAGAGACACAAAGTTGATCATCACCAAAGATATATTATCAAATACCAACGGAAATCCTATGAAAACTGGTCAGCAATTATAATAAGGGTTTGTGTGATGTAACACAAATAAAAAGATGTCTCTACCTAATTGTTTTAATTAGGTGCTTCTTTTAAATCACTTTATTTTCTTTTGAGCGAGACTCTCGCCTACCATAAACAAACTTCTTGGTTGAACGATATTTACTTTAAAATCTGCCAGGGGTACAAATTATCCAACGGGCGAAAACCAACCCATTCATTATTTCTGACACATGGACACATGCGGCAGTGGCATCTTTCTTCCGCGTTCATCTGCCTGTGAGTGATCTAGCTTTTTCCTACAAAGCAACAGTTCGAGGTCGGAGGTGAGCACTCACCCTGAGGGTAGATGGAGAAGTTCTCACCACTACAAAGATCAGGGACAAAGGAGCAGAGCGTTGTACAACGCACACCTGGAGCTCTCCGCTCTGCCCCGCTGTCTCAAAGCGGCTTCGTTCTCAGACCCAAAGTGTAATTTGCTTGAAAGCCACAGTGCCCAGATTGCTAAATGGCGGCCCCACAGAATTTTACCTGTGATTTTTTTTTTCCCCCTCCTTATTTGCACATATTTTTAGAGTTATTCATGTGTGTGACTGTGTGCTTTCATCCACCCTCTCTCAGGCTTAATAAAAGTGAAGGAAAAAGTTGACTTGAAAGTGCACGCAAGCTAGCTGTTGATCTCACCTCGGAGTCATTATCTTATAGGATGTCTTTGTGTTTCACAAAAGATCAAAAGGACCAGGTTGCTTGACCTGCTGACTCGTCTAAGCGAGACAAAGCACCTGACAAAAGGCAGCAGCAAAGACTTAGAGCTACTCCCTTCATTATGTCCCCCTCTCCTTCTCCTCCCTGGACAGTGTTTCTTCTTAAGATTGGGAGCCCTGAGAAAACGACCCGGACACTTTTCGCACTGAAGGATGCCTGAGTCTCAAAGCACCAGCCAAGGGCTCTAAAGCGTCACAAACAAAAGGGAGAAAGGAAAGACAGACTTTTATCTGATGTGCAGATTATTATCGGTCCCCGCCCTGCCCTTCCTGAAACTCCACCCTGATGTAATATAGTTTCTATGCCTAAAAAGTGTGGAAAAAAAAAATATTTTTGTCAAGTTTTCCTTTTCAATTGTCATTTGATATTTATGATTAAAAATAAATAAATATTGAAGTTCAGTTCTGGCATTTTCTGGTAATTTGTGAAAATATATACAGTTTCCGAAGGCTCTTTGAAAGAAAAGGTTTAATAAAGCAGCCACAGAGGGTAATTTATGTGGCACTTTTATGGAATTGAATACTTGGAAATTTCTCAACTAGGAGGAATAGGGGCAGGTTTTTATACCTTTTTCAGCCAGTTTCATTTTTTTATGTGTCTTTATTTTTCTTGCTACGTGTTGAATTAATATCTTGTTGAGAAAGAAATGCGTTTAGAAAATTTAAGCACATTTCAAGAATATGAACTATTGTGGCAAATATCAATATGTCAGGATAAAACAGAATACTTGTACAGATGTTTTTTATATGATCGGTAAGAGTGCTAGAGAGGAATGAGTGATTAAAAGACTAAGTTGGGGGGGCGGGGCGGTGTGGGGATAAATCTCCAAAAAAAATTCAAAAACAGCCAGCCCCCATGAGTCCCCCACCCACGCACACCCCTGCCAGGCCTTTAGCGGGAGTCCATCTCCCAACTCCCATCGGCAGTACTCTTGAAGTTGCACCAGCGTTGTGGTTTCTTTTACCGAGCGGTGGGGCCATCATGGCACAGGTGGTCGCCGACATAGACTTAGACCGAATCCAGGAAATAGACAGGACCTTGCAGTCAGATTTGCTATGGAAAGAAAATTTGTACATATATGCTTTGATTAAAGAGGCTGGAGGCAGACGTAAAAATCCTATAGGGCCTTTTTTTTGTTTGTTTGGTAAATATTTGTGGATTTTCTGTGTGCTCATCCGTACGTTTGTTTGCGACACATACTGTATACAAGTGTTTGCGTCTGTGTGAAAGAAAAGACCGATTATGAGAACCTGTGAACCACCGAGTGACACAATTCTCAACACTGTGTGCCCTCCCCCACCCCTGGGAGTACCACCCTTACATGTAAATGATTCTCATTAAGCATTGGCAACATGTGTTTTGGTGTGTGTGCGTGTGTGTGTGTGTGCGTGTGTGTGTGTGTGCGTGTTGTGATAATTTCTTCTGATCTGTTTTCTGACCTGTTTGAAAGAGGATTTTGATTTAAGGCTTTCAGTGGTAAATCCTTTCTTTAAATTATTATTATTATTATTATTATTATTATTATTATTACTAAAATTATTACTACACTGCTCCTCTTTTATTGTAAATAATAATGACATGGACTTACATTGATAAATACGGCCTTTGTATGACTTAGCAATATTTTTATGTAAATAGTGTTTTGTTCATGCTTTTTCTATGACATTATTAGTGCAGTAATTCCAATTGGAACAGCCATGTTTTTCTACAGTCTGAATAGTGACACAGGTTGTAAAATAAAACTCATAACGTGGCTGCTGTATTTCTTTCTCCTGTTACCGGTGTCTATTTGTCTCAGCAGGTTTTTGTGTAATTTATTGGTTTAATTTATCCTAATTTATTTCATGTTGTTCTATTTTGATTTCCTTCCATCCAGCGAAAGATGCACTGCATTGCAACAAGCTGAATCAATTTAAAAGTGTTCAGGCTTTTTTTTATTATTATTATTATTTAAAAGTGAATTTAATTAATGTAATTGACAGAAATGCTGAACAAAGATCAGACAGCTTAATGGAACCTGATAGATAATGGGTTTGACTGGGTAGAGGGTGGAGTTAGAAAGCTTGAAACTAGTTTAAAGACTTTTTTTCTTCTCTTGAGATGTTTATTTTCCCCCCCTGTGTTGTTTTGGCCCAGCCCAACAAAGAACCAGTAGTCAAACTGCCTTTTGTGCCTTCACCCTCTATGAACTGAATGTATGTGCAGTATATATGCAAGCTTGTGCTAAATGCAAAAAAAGATAAAAATAAAAAACGAGAGTGGAAAATGTCAACGGGATGGGGGTTTTTTTTTTTTTTGTTTTTTGTTTTGTTTTTTAAAGCATCTGCAAGATTTTAAAGACTGACCCTGAAATATAATTCTTCATTTCTATTCTAAAACAATATTTAACACCAGGAGTTCTCTAACTTAATATTTAAAAGGTCTAAATCTAATTTCGAGAAGAAAAAAAATCAGATATCTAGATCACTTTGAAATAATTACATTTTTATACATTCACTTTCAACATACAAGCATTGTGTTCCAACTATATTTTAACTTGACTATTTGAACTCCAAACTCAGCAAAAATGCAGATGACTTTGAAATTTATTTCTCAGACTGTCTGACAAAATACTTTACAAACATTCATCTTATTCCACCTAAGATAGATGCACTTGGCAGTTTCTGCCTTTTACCTTTTTTTTGTACCATAAATAAGTATTAAAATTTCTTATGTTGTCATAGCAGCGTAAGGCTCATAATGAACTTCACTTTAGCATACACTTTGTACACTATCTGGCCGCAGGTTAACACCTGTTGACCGGGTCCAGACTGACTGGCAGTTTGGCCCAGATCCAGATCAGAAACTGACCTTTGAAAATCGTTTTATTACCCTGATATCTCAAAACTTGTTTCTCCAGCATTGAATGCTCCGATGCATTTAATTCATGAACCACGCCCTCTGTTATTGTGGAGAACATGCCTCTATGATGTGGCAAATAAGAGTTGCAAAAAGTTTTTTTTGTTGTTTTCAATTAAATAGGTTTTTATCCTTGAATTAACAGCTGAAAGACTGCAATGTTAGAACTTCAGGAATTTGATTATTATAATATATAATTATTCACATATTAGCAAAACAGATTGACATGGTATTTCCATGTCTATTTGACATGACACTGATACTTATTTACTGCAAAGAGAGGAAATTATTTTTATTCCATTATCGATGCAAAGTCGTCTAAAATTGTTGAAGGTATAGTAGAGTAAAAAGTGTGGTCATAGAAAAGCAATTCATCTCTCCATTAAGGGATTCCACTGCATAGATAATTATTGTTTAATGTATATATATTTTTTAACCAAATACTTATTAATTGCATTTTATTTACAGTGACAATAACTATATTCTGGTTTGATCTGTTTATCAACTCTGGAAAAAAGTTGTAATAAAATGCACAATGATCCTTCAATGATAGCTGTCCAGAAATTAAATTGTTTTAAAGTTTCTAAAAGAGAACATGTTTAAGATTCGCCTACAGACTTTACCGCTTTTTTTTGTTTTTTTGTTTTTTTTTTTTCTGGGGGGGAGGGGTTGTTCTGTTAGTAGTTTGGGAATTGTTTAAGAAGGCTATTTAAAAAAAAAAAAAAAGTATGGTGTTGTTCTCTCTGCGTCATTTTGCTGTTTTCTTATCGTGACCTCCTCTGTACTTTCCAGCATGCCAGCCCCATCGCTCTGTTCCTTTTTTTCCCTTTGTTCTCGCCTGACTTGCTTTTCTCTCTTTTTTGCTTTGATGCTCATTTTTTGGAGTTGCCTCTTTTGTGTCTTTCTTGCTCGTTTTTATTCTTTTTTCCCCCCCCCTCCTTTGCTCCTATGTTCCTTTTCCCTCTCGTCCTCCGCCCGCCTCCCTCCGCTCGCCTTAACCGGAGGCTACAGCTCCTTAGGTTGGGCTGAGACAGCATCTTTGTACAACACCGACCGTCTGCTCTGTAATCAAATACCATCTGTCGCTACATCTGAAGACTCACTTTCTCGCTTCCTACATCTCACACACACACACGCACACAGACCCCACATCTGTGTTTTGTAAGGTGTGTGTGTGAGTGAGCTTTTTATGTACAGTGACCCATGTACTTACAATCTTTACACCTGGTTCATTCTTGGCCTGCAGGGTGGAAGTCACCAGAGTCACTTTCACCACTTCCTGTTTTTCCCCCGTCTCGCTCACCTAGTGGTTCAAAGGTCATTGTCTTCAGGTATCCATGTTTGTTCTGTGTGTCAGCAAGACCTTGGCTGCCGTATCACACAGGAGATAGCGGACTTTAGCTTCCCAGTCTTCAGATCAACGGCCCACTATCTCAAAAGGTCTGCCAGCCTTTCCCAATGTTTGCCCAAAGTTTGTCCCTGCTCCGGCACACAAAACGTTGACACGGCTCCCCAAGGTCCCTCTACGCGCCCCTCCTCCCTCCGTGGTCGCTCTTTATCACACGCTCGGGTTCAAGAGCGTTTATCCTTAAAAGGCCTTTTTTTTTTTTATAAGTTAGACAGGTTTGCTTCAACATTTCAATGCAGCTAGTACATAACAGATGGCAGATCTTCTGTTCAGAAATTATTTTGTGGAAGGGAGGATACTAAAATTCAAAGCCAGAACTATAAGCAAACTTTGCAACCGTTTCGGGCCCCCTGCTGGTCTGGGGCCCCACAGGAGCACTTGAATTAACATAGAGCGGGTTCACAAATGGTTGTAGTCATATTTGGTTGCCACTGTTTTTAACATGTGGCATTTTATTTTATTTTTTTGCATACTAAATAAAAAGCACAGCCAACTCTAGCACAAGGGATAACACTAAGCGCTTATTATTTTTGTGTAACTAAACAGAAAACATCCTGGATATTCTGCGAGATGTGAATCTCAAATATTAAACTGAAATAGAAAAAGCTAACAAATGGAAAATAATCATTTTATCATACACAGTTTTATTTAGGATATAATAATAAATAATTTTCATATAAAATACAGTATGTGTCCTTTTTATAAACTGTATTTATTATTTATAAGTTTGATGCTTATGGTGCTGCCGTAAAACAAGAAGCCTTACACCTAATTTGAGTTACCTCAATACCTGTATGATCCAAACTCCTGTACACTGCAACAGGGGCTCAGTTTAAGACATTTAAAAAGTTTATAAGTTGATTAAAATTTTCCTCTTGATATAATGATGTTGGCATTATGACACAAAGACGGTCAGTGACTGCAACACTTATTTACATACATTAAGGAAGTTGTTCACTATTTGAAAGTTAGAATAATGTTTGATTGCTAATGTAATAATTTCTGCAGCTTGTGTTACATGTAGTGCATATTATAAATCAGACCAACAGACAGTACTTTTTTTTTCCAGTTGTTGCTTGTAAAGAAAATATTAAACTAGGATTCACAAGTCGATAATAATTGAGATAAGATTCAGATGCCTCAAATAAACCTCTCTTTAGGGCCTTACACACCCTTGGGCCGTTCCTAGTAAAGGCTTCATTCCCTTTCTGTGTGACATTTTAAGCTTTTTATCACCTACTCCTGGGTTTGAGTGTGGGTGTGTGTGCAGTGGACCATGAGAAAAATGGTTACATACATTGTAGCTCCATTTTTATTTTAAGTGAAATTCTAGCAAAAATCCCTTCTTCTTTTTTTTTTTGCACAAACCGATCCAGTTTTAATTGAAAATCTTGTTTTTTTTTTTTTTTTTTTCTGGCACAGTAGGGTGTTAATTCTGGCTCACCCGTTTGTGACACCAGTGTTGGAGACACCTAGTGGTCACTATGTGTACTTTGACAACATTTTTGACTGTCCCTCAGCCTGTTCTCATCCTGTTTCCCCGTTATCCTCTTCTGCTAGTTCTTCTTATCTGTGCTTCTTTCTCCCCCCTGCTCTTCATCTGTTTTTTGCATGTGTGTGTGTGTGTGTATATATATTTGTTATTAGAAGGATTCCAGTTGGACAGATCATTGTGCCCTCTTTTTCTTCCCTCCCTCTGCCACTCTCGCTGGAAGGCTTCAGCGCAATTGGAGCCTCGGAGGCTCAAGAGAGGAGCCTGGGAAAGAAGGAACAAAGGGCCGTCCGTCTGCAGCAATCACCACTCCGCGCCTCCTCTCCCTTTTCCCCGTTCTTCCCTCCCTCGGTCCCCCTTCACTTCCCTCTCTCCACTGGTCTCCACTGGCCAGCGCCCCAAATTAAGACTTCAGACAAGAAAATGGGCTCACTAAAAAAGGAGAGGAAAAAGCGAGCGAAAGAGAGGGAGAAGGAAGTCCAGAACAAGCCAAGAGGAGCAGTGCAACAAAGCCTCTGTTGTTGGAGAGCAGGGCCCCTCTGTTGCTCCGCGAGGAACTGTCACTGTGTCAACTTGGACCCCCTTGTTTTGAGGAACACAAACCATAAAGAGCACACACACAGAACACACACACCCAGAGACGGAAACCATCCTGCAGAGGACAGCATGCTCACATTCTTTCATATTCACCAAAACAAATGATGATTTCATTTATTAAGGACAAAAGCGTTCAAAACCAGTCTGGCCCTATATGAAAAGTAATTGCTCCCTAAACCAACAACCAGCAACAACTGACATCAAGAGTTTGCTGGGATTTGAGCATGAATGATCAGATTTGAGCAAGAAGATCGCGCCGCAGCAGATTTAGGACAAGACTTTGACTAGGCCACTTCAAAACCTTTTTGTCACCGTCGTATTGTTTTTATTATTTTGAGACATTCAGATGTGTACTTCCTGTTTTGCCTTGGATCACTGTCTTGTTGCACACCTCGCTGATAAAAAAAAAACTCCAAGTGAATTATGAGTACATCAGAGAATGAACTGTTTAATATTTGTGCATTTATGTATATATTAGAGGGAAGAACCTCCAAACAAGAGGAGGGTTAATTTTACACAATTACTCCCAAGAAGATTTGAAATTGCTGTCAAATGTACTTGAGCCAAATAAATCTGATCAAAATGAAAATAGGGTACTTTTGTCTTTTATTTCTTTATCGAATAAAATAATTAAATATTATGTCTTTGCCTTGTCTTTGCGAAGATTGGGCTACTGAGGTAAAGATGCAAATTTTGGTTCTTCTAGAAACTTTCTGTCTGTTTTGTCAACCCAGAAATGCACGTATGCACAGAGACAACATGCCAAACACGTGCTGATTCTCCAAATTATTCTAGACAGTAAAGGTGAGAGGACAGCAGCTGTGAATTCCCAAAGCAAACCTTCCCGTTGACTGCCAAGAAGAGTCAGAGGGGGGCA